TTCTTGTAGGAAACTTCCGCCGCCGGCTTGCCCGGGAACTACTTGTAGTGGTAGTGGTAGTCGTAGTGGTAGTGGTAGTGGTAGTCGTAGTTGTGGTAGTAGTAGTCGTAGTGGTAGTAGTGGTAGTAGTGGTAGTAGTGGTAGTAGTGGTAGTAGTGGTAGTAGTGGTAGTAGTAGTAGTAGTAGTAATAGTAGTGAGTGGTAGTAGTGAGTGGTAGTAGTAGTGGTACTAATTATTTGTCGTTGCAGCTATTCTTACTATTATGTTATGCTTTCGAAAGCCCTCAAATCGTCCTAACCCACCTCGTGCCTGACCTTGTAATTCGTACCTGTTCACCTTGTTACCTCGGCTGGGGTCGCTATATTTTGCAGAGGCATCATGGATGAATGTGAATAGCGTCTATTTCTTTTGAGATGTTCTGGGTATGCTGCCTTTGCCTGAAACGACATTGGTTTATATAGTGCAGTGGCAGGCTGATCGATACCAACGTGTACCCCAGGAGGCCAGTAAACGGAGATGAACTTGGATTGTAAAAGTCTGAATCCCCAAAGGCGTTTGATAGGAGTTTAACTTGAACGCGGTCATAACAGTAGGGTGGAGGCCATGACTACTAGGATGGAGGCCATCGCTATTAGGGTGGAGGCAATCGCTCTTAGGTTGTGTTTCCTGAGCATCCTGGTGTCCACAGGAAATGATTGTCCGCAAGCGACTCGAGACACGAAGGCATCCGGGCAACCACGCCCAGCTTGTCCTGCTGTCAACACCAGGACACTGGAGATGATGGAGGACAAGATGTTCACATAGAGCATCCTAAAATGTACGAGCTCGCAGACTGCAAGTGCTGGTGATAGCTGCTTGTACAACATGTTGCGGCAAATCTTTGACCAATACCCATCGGATGGGCCTTAACAAAATAGACTCTGACCGGGTTGGCTCTGCACCTAATGTCTTTCTCGCAAGGTTTGTGGCACATTGTGGCACCATCTGGAAAAGTTGCCAGGGACTTGAACCTGAAGTTAAAATCCTTGTTTTAAGGATGCATCTGTGAGTGAAAGACTCCTCCATGCCAAGTGGCTGATTGCACCTACTGGTCTTGTGATCCTGGCAACGAAGGCCAAACGGTTTTTAGGTGGGACCCGATGGCAAAACAAATAGCTTAGGCTTAGATCCTCCCGACCCATGATTACCAGCAAGCAGCTTAGAAATGTTCGAACTTGGCATTCTCTTGAAGCTGCGTTTCAATGGCTGTACATGCACGTGGGCCAGCAATGTCCCAAGAATGCCTCGATGAAGGCAGTTCTTTGATGCAAAAGGTTCTCGGGTTGTACTTCACCGCTCAATGAGGCCACAGGTGTCCAACAATGTAGTAAACACATGAAGACACTCGAGTGTTTTCCCCGAGTCGGAAGAGATGCAAGTCCAACCTCACAACCAAGTCAGCTCTATTCCTATCTCACAACCAAGTCGGCTCTATGGTCCAATTGGACAACCTGACGAGGCGGCAGGGGCGTTCCCCCGCTCCGCCCACCTTGAAGAGCTGTTCCTGCAAGGTGGAAGTCAAGCCATCGAAGACCAAAAAGCCGAGGATAAGGACATAGCCGAAACCTAATTAGCGCTGACGTCGACTGGCGTCCGCATCTACGATTCTCCTCCGGAAAGAGACTGAAAGCGCGTCCGAATGGGTCTTTCTCAAAAATATGTTGTATAAAATAATCACAAAGAAACTCACTGTTTTCCTGAGTCCTGGAATGACGTAATTTGGTGCCGTACCTCCGACCTATCAAATGCGCCTAGTGCGCTACAACAGCCTATCTGTATAATTGTCCACAACAAACTTATGATGATGTTCAGTCAAACACATTTAGAAGAAACTCTCCATGTTCATCCATTTTCTATGTTTAGGATCTCTATGAAGTACTTGGAGCTAAAGTGGCCCGCATTGTTTGAACATATCTTGCAAAGAAGGATTCTTTCCGAAATCCAGCAAAACACTCGGGCCACCGCCGGTGGTCTGTGAATCATCTATCCTGGCTGAGCTGGGTGTGGTAACCTGAGGTTGAAAACACCAAATCAACAACTGTTTCAATAAGAAAAATATCCAAGCATGAGCATGCCACTACTAGTTCCTTCCACACCTTTTCGAGAATGGCATTCTTGTGGGACAAGTGAGGGCCGCGCCCTCGCTTCAGCTATCCCAGAGCCGTGTGAAAAGGCGTGTGCAAAAATTTAAGGTTAAAATATCCGCTGGGTGGCAACATCCTGCAGCACCTAGAAACAGAAGAAAACACTGTATTGCAAAGTGAGTGCCCTTCGTTCGATTTCCAGCAACATGCACATCTGCCCAACTCACCCATTGTTCGATCGGTCGCCTCCGCGACAGGGTTGGGCCCATCAAACAGAATTCCGCAACACCCGCAGTCACTGCAAGGGCTACCAAGCAGTCCTGCGGTCAAGCCAGTAGGACAAGAGATCCATGTTGAGCTTCCACTGCTAAAAATCGGAATGGGACCGAAACAATAGGTAAGACCAAGGCCCCCTTTAACACGGGCCCCTTACATAGGCCCTTATGCTCACATCTTTTTCCTAAAGAAGAATACTGCAAACTTTCTTAGTCTAGACTTAGACCAAGTCCCTCTTTGGAAGATTCATCTCAATCCACTGCGCTCCTCGAGATCATAGCTTTTCCTGGGCACGTGACTCAACTTTTGGGGCTGATGCTAACTGGGCTCCGAGAGAGTCCCTTCCACTACAAAGCATACTGTAAAGATGACATGTGACAGCAGCTTCATCGTTCTGTCGAAAAAAGGCTGAGGGTCTGAAAGCTCCTTTCATTGACTTTCAGTTGGCAGGACTACCCTCAAATCCACGGACATTTGCCAGTGAGCTCTTGCTACGGTTTGTTTCCATATGATTTGCAATCAAATGGTCTTAGGAACACCTCCAGCAATATATCTCAACCAGACCAGAACCCAACCCTTTCCACTCCCAACTGCGAAATCAACGCCACTGAATCAGCCAGGCATCTGGTTGATGTAGACGCTCCAAGCCATCACCTTCGCTGGATCGGCTGGTAGTTGCCGGCGAAAGGTCTCGAACACTGTCGAACGCTGCCCCGTGGGGCAAAATAGCATGGATGGCCTGCGAAAGAAGGGTGGGAAAATGAAGTCCTTTTCTATCAGCTTGGCTGTGCCAGGTTCTACGTTCGTGCAAGACAGGGCGACGTTAGTGATGACCAAAGAATCAGCTTATCGGTCTTCACTATCTCACAGCAACTTCCGCCTTCCCGGTCTACGTCAATTTTTTTCCTCCAAATGAAGCAAACTCAAGAAGTCGCGGCTGTCGCGGCTGTTCGATTGAAGAACCATCAGGCAAAACTTCAGAGCTGTGGCTAGTTGTGGCAAGTAGCAGGAATCATCTTGAAGCTCTTACCCAGCATTTGAACTGCGAAGGAGACGTACTTCAATGCCTGACCCACGGAACCGTCGGCCGGGCACGTCCGAAAGAAACTCTCACCCGGAGGATGTCTTCGACAATAATCTTAGTACAAATCCTCTGCTTGATCCTAAAAGGATCAGTTCAACTGGCCGAGAGCATCAAGGAAGAGTACAGTAGGTTCCACCAGGACCAAACCCCTTGAAGTGGCAAATTTTGTGTGTCTGGCCTTTTAAGGGTTCCACAGCTGCACTTTAGGAACTGCCATGACATGATGATCATGTCACTGGGACGATCCAGTGATCATCCAAGCATTGAGAGAATCGACACTGGGGCCAAAAAGCCTCATACTGGCATGCAGTCGCGGCCACGTTGGATAAGGACACCAGGGCCTCGGCCACGCATGATGTTTCTGCAGGTCTTCTCTCAAAGAAGAAATATAAAACCAAAATCAATCTGGAGAACTGTTGAAACAGCACCAATCCGCGAACAAACATGTTCCTGTCAACAATCTTCAGGCAGTTGTGGAAAGGATCCTACTAGTATCTAGTAACAAAGAAATGCAAAGAACAGTGGCTGCCTACTAATTGCATACAATTACCGCAGTTTCGGCCGCCAGGCGAAGCTGGGGCACCCGGACATACTTCCAGAATGGGGCTTCGCTTCGAAAAGACTCCTCAGGTGTGGAAAGAGCGCCAAAGAAGCCAAAGCTGGTGCAGCGACTTTCATGACATACGCTGCTGAGAGGGATGATCGGAAACGGCCAGACCAAGGGATGCTGGATTAAGGCCTTCACTTAATGACAGAATGCATTGGAATGCACAGTCTTCGTTCGATGTCAAGGCAGGAGCCCTCATACCAGTGTTTCTACATCTAGAACGAGTGTGCCCGTTTCTTGCGCTAAACCTGCTTTCTTCGCGCGCCAAGGTGCACCGCGGCAGAAGAGCGCCACACAGGCACAGATCACAGCCAACAGACCTGAGCGGAGTCACAAGACCCCGCCTCTACCCGAAGGCCCCATGGACCTTGAAAGCGCTTGAAAGCCAATGGTTATTCGTGTTCAACCATGCGTTGAGAAGGATTTGTTGATGGGCAAACTCCTGTCATGTTGACCCTCTTTTTGGTGTTTCCAGGATTCTCCGCAGAATTGGGCTTGAGCGAATCATAGGGCATCGCGGGTGTTGCCCTGGTGACCATCTATAATAGATGAAACAGAATCGTTTACCCAGTTGCAGATTGAAACATGGATCCCATGCTAGAAAGACCTTCCTTTCCAAGGGTCCACTTCTCAATTCCATCCTGGGATGGAAAAGGGAAGCCCTGCGCAAAAACCTGAGAGGAGAGAAGAATGTTGTCACTATTGTTGAAGAAAGGCGTCCTGCACTTGAGGCAGGGAGTCGCTGATCGTCCCACATATTTTTCAGTGTTGGTGGTTGTGTCCTTGTTTCACTCTAAACCGTAGTACATAGTCCTGCCGAAAGCCACATCAAATTCCCAACTCAAATACCAAACACGAGATCCATTGAGTGGCCAACATATATGCATAATCCCAGGTTTGCTGGGATCTTCGTCCTCCTCCCCAACCGTCCATCCTCTTCATAGCACCAGTGGCGATTGCAGAAGACCAAGAAGAACGATGAGTCAAAGACCTCTCCGGTGCTTTTGACCAACGGTGGTCCAGTTCGACAAACTGACTGCCCAAAAAGACTCCAACCAAAGAGGCCAGCACTGCGGGTGAGAGACTTTGTGGGTCAAGTCTTGGAGTCCAAGTCGTACAAGTGGTTGCACATTGAGGAGTACTGCTCGGTCAAAAAATGGTGTTTTCAATAGGTGAGATACTGGTCCAAGTTCCCTTGTTTGGCCCTTTCGAGGAATCTTCATGGAGGCCCAATGGGCTGGAGGCCAAATGGTCATCAGATTAATTTTCAAGTTTTCTGTGGGTGTCCAGGTAACCTCGCCAAGCTTGGCCCAAGTCATGATGATGGTGTCTCACTGCGTTCCACGCTCCCATCTGAGAGTGCCCTGCAGCAAAGGAGTCGAAAAGAAGCTTAAAAATGGGATTGCTGCTTTACGAGGTCAGCTGAAGGGGCCAATCAAAGAGCTGCTTTGGCAACATAGAACAGGTCTGTGCACATGGCACAGCAACAGCTCTACATTTCTAGAAACCTGGCTCAGAAATAATCCCGATTCGTGGACACCTTATACCAACAATTGCACAACTTCCCAGTGGCCGCACCGGGCTGCTCACAAAATGCCCTTCCGTTTGGGTCGCGGTCTTTGAAGCAGTCTTTCAACATGACTCACACGATTCTCCCATCAGTTCTGAAGTGGTTCTTCCTGCAGAATCTCATCACGAGCACAAAAGGGGAGGACTCGTAGTCTTAGCGGTCTCAAAGGAATGTAATATTACAACTTGCAAGTTCGTCACTCACAAGTCTTTGCTGAAGCCTTGAGCACCCAACCTGAGCTGAAAGAAGTCGCAACTTTTCACCATCCATCGCAATTCATCCTCGTCAAACTCAGCAATTGTTTTGCCATACACAGCCGTAACCTGTATCATAGAGGTACGTAAGCTATACACTAAAATATTGTAAAATCATGGGCACGCGGCACGGAAAAGGGGATGCAAGTGGATGCAGGAAAACAAGCAAGCGCAGGAAACAAGGAAACATGCCAAATCCATGTTCAAGGGGTCGCAAAGGATGATCCCCAACTATCCCACACTATTCATGCTCTTTCACTGGACACAACTTTGATGGTCCTAGGGTGAGTATTGACTGTGCCCAAAGTATTGTTTTTGTCCACGGAGTCCACGCATGACTTGCCATGACCATGTCTGGACAGTGACTGTAACCTGCTCTTGAAGTAATTGCCTCGGTTCCCCGACATGTTTTGCCCATCAAAATGTGTGGTCACCCCAGCGGACGTGGTCCATTCCCCTGAAGCCCGACACGCCTCATGGTCATAGGGCCTTGTCATGATCCGTTCCTGGAGCACGCCATAGATCAACAAGAAGGCGATGATCCCTACCTCGGCACCAAGTTGGACTCTTTACAAGACAAGACTATATGCAACCTTGACTGTACACTCAGCTTTTTCTTTCAGGACTGGAAGAAAAGGTTTAAACAGATTTGTTTCAAACATGTAATTGCAAGGTTGGATGTTATTTGCAACACCCGCTATGACTCTGTTACCGTCACAATCTCCTTTTGACTTGGTTCCTGGTTCCTTGTTGGGCGGTGGCGTTAAAAGCCGAGCGGCCGAATGGACCAAACATCTGCGCGTGCTCTTCCACTCCTGAAGAAGCTGCTCTGCTCACTCTGCAAAAATAAAAGAATCCAGAACAATTGACAATTGATGGGTGCAAAAGTCATCAGTAGGACAGAGGCCCCCAAAGTTGAACCGTTCAAGAGCATCCCATCGGCAACCACCAATTATCAATGTCCACCTGCATGTCTAGGGAAAAAAAACCATTCGGGCCAAGTCCCCCAAAAGAACTCAAAAAGACAGTGCCATGCAAGATGCTCGAGAAGAATCATTCTTCAAAAATATCTTCCACTCATAGGTTGGAGATCGCTGCTCCCAAACCGATCATCCTTCCACTATGGTTCCATCCGACTATACTCGCGGCCACAGAGTTGTGCCACTATGCCAATCCCCGCACTCAACCACAGGTCTTGATCGCAGCTGATGAATGGAGAGAAGCACCTCAATTGGGTTGCATTGTGTGTGATCACCTCTGAAACTTAGGGGATGCCAGGCTTCGTGCAACTCCCGAAATCAAAGGAATGCCTGGATGTGAAAAATACACGTCACACCTCATGTCCCTCGTCCTCATTTACTGAGTACATCGCAGTGAAACAAACATCTGACACGAAAAGATGTATGCTCTCGATGACAAACTTGCGCAGATGACGTGAACCAACAAAGAAGATTTGATAACCGGGTAACCTTCGCAAAGGTAACTTTCATGATCATGTCAAATCGAAAAAGGATAAACCATGGCCACAACCATGGACCATAGCTGCACCGGATCTGCTTCTTCTTCTTCTTCCTTATGTACGGTAATCGGATGGAGCTGTGAGGCGGCGTAAAATGGGTGACAATGTACTAGCGGGCGACTGACAGTGTGAATCTATAAATAACATGGCCTCAAGGTGGGGGAGTAATGGTAAACGCATGCACATATCCATCTACTGTAAGTCTCTTGACACAATTTCATGTGGTCAAACCAACATGGAGTGCCAAAACGAGAGTTTAGTTAGTAGGTAAGGTGTCGTGTCTTTGGTGTTCAGGGTCTTATATAACTCACCCGGAAAATGTTAAAAAAGGGCAAAGGACACAACAGTGCACCAGGCAAACTGAGGAGATTCTCTTGACGTCCCAGCAGCTATGAGGGCTTTAGTACAAGGACATGCAACCTAAAGTGTGCCGTAAACAATTTTGAACTAGTAACAAGGGCCTCGCTACTAGAAACAAGGGCATTACTACTAGTAGCTAGAAGCTACTAGTAGCGATGCCCTTGTTACTAGTAGCTTCTTGCTACTAGTAATGCCCTTAGCTACTAGCTTCTTCAGTTCGATCCCTTGAGCTGATTTCAGTCTTGATCACAAGCCGAGAAAAGCAAAATCGCATCCTTTCTTTTACATGGATTTTGCTGCGACTGCTTGGCCTTCCTACGCGATGCCCTGTCACATCGACTTTTCTCAGCTCCGCAAATGGAAAGGTGCAAAAGAAAGGAATGATGCTGGCCACAGAAACCCAACTTCTCAAGAAGTCAACCCATCCCATGAAAACAGTACGCGAAGGTTATCCGTTGGTGTGCAGGCAATAATTGAAGTCCGGCTTGTGGTTGAGGTCGTCTATGTCAAAGCACCACCCATCGTAGAAGTACAGCTGGGCGCGGTGACAGTGCGCACACTAGAGAAGTACAACTGTTGCATCAGTCAACTTACATTGGCTGTCTGCCTGGTTGCCCAACCCAACATGAAATGAAGATGGTTGAACCGTTTAACGCTTGCAACGGGTGTCGACAATCTTTTGCCACCCTGTTCTGCTTGGAGTCCTTGCCAACCTCTGTTTTCTATCTTTGCTCCCTCTCCACGGCCAGACTCAATCTTCGTCTCCGCCAGACTTTAGCGGAGAGATCTAGCTCAAATGACCCAACCAAAGCCACGTCACTCGGCTCGTGACCCCTCCCATGCAGCCTGATCACTGATGTCAGTCATTGAAACAATCCACTTACAAAAACATGCTGAACTCTTGTGCCGTGAGTCGTTGACGTTGCTCCAAGTGAACCAACAGAGCAAGTCCTTCTGGTCTTCAGTGATGACATATCCCTTCATATCCAATTTCTACAGCACGAGTCTTCAACACATTATGAAGAAAAAATACAAAGGGTCACGCGAGCGACTGTGGATTCAGGGTGAGAAGTGGTCATGCAACTTGGCTGCCAATGGGCCTTCACGGTTCTTTCGCCACAGGAAAACCAAGGTGAGCCAAGCTGGATGAGTGTGCATCATCGGTTTCGACTGCGCAAGAAGACAACAACCTGGATAAGACTTCGTTCATCATTGCCACTCCTCAATCACAGTGGATGCATGTCTTAAATGGCTCCAAAAACTCGGAACAAAGGCACTCAAGGCTTGGCAAACATCGCCTAACTCCACTAATCCAATCCCCTCAGCCCGGCCCCCTGCAGCGAACTTCAGCAAAAGAGGTGCCCCTCGCATCACGAGCGCGCAGCCGCATGGAAAATGCCTTCGCACCGATCACTCGCCCCCGTGGCAAGGGCCAGGGTTCGGAGTTCTCGGTGCTCACAGTTCGTTCGCGGGCCACGGGCGAGAGCGGGCCACAGGTGGTGACCCAGCCATTAAATAAGACGATATCAACTAAACAACCTGGCCAGTCATCCATCGTCATGATCAGTTTATTTTTGGCATGAGCTTTCCACCCTGCCAGCCCCTAGGCCCATCGACCGCTCAAAAGGGTAGAGACTGCCTCGTCACAGAGCTCAACAACAACCCCAGCAAGAGCAGGCAAGCGGCTGAACCTACTGACCTACTGTTCTGCATCCCTCCTTTTCAAGCGGGCCCTGAGGAGTTTGGATTGTCAGTCTCTTCCTGAGGATGGGGGTGATGGCCATCAATGACCTACACTGACACTGCAGTGCGTTGAGAGTAGATGGGGGCACAAACGTGCAAAGAGTCGTCTCGGCAAGGATACATTCCGCAAAAAAGAAATCGTCGGGCTTGTCACAATCTACTTTGAAACCACAGTAGGTGCGGAACGGCGGAACTTGGTCTTTTTGACACGGCCTCTATGATTCCCTGTGGCTGGTTTATTGCCAGGAGGGCGCCGCTTCGCCCCAAAATCAGGTAAGCCAAGCTCAGAACAAAGACTTGAAAACTCCAGGCATCCTACCACCGCCCCACTCTGTGCTCTGTTTGGTCGACCTGAAAAGGTCCAGGAGATCGCATTCAATACCAACAGCCTCAGCCTAGTGCTGCTTGGGGCCCAACTTTAGCACCAAAAGCCTGGACAATTTGCTGTAAACAAGCCAATGCTTCACTTGCTTGCCAGGTCTCCGCCACGCAAGACAGACATGTCTGTGGGCTATTTCCGGTGGATCGTAAAGTTGTGGTCACCATGTCTTCTGGGGTGTTATATTGACCTAGGGCCTAGGGCCAAAAGTTAACCTTTGGTTTGGGCGAGCTTGGATGGTTTCTCCCTGAACTACCCCAAGTGCTGTCTTTCCTGTGCCAGATGCAGACCCCACGCTCCACCATCCCTCTTTCCGAGCCTGGGTGCAAAGGGTGCCTCATAGGACCTATGGGCCCTTGGGGCTCCATGATGCCAAAATCTACCTTAGATTTGGATAGATTCTAAATTAGGTTGGAGGCAATTGCTATTAAAAGGTTGGCGGCCATCGCTAGTAGGTTGGACCAGGGTCCCAAGCCAAACATTCCGAAGATTTCGCCAGTTCTAACGAGCGGTTCCCGGCTCCTGACTTCACGAGTGCGGTTTTCATGGCCAAAGCCATGGGCTTCTTGGAGTGAGCCATGATTGGGCAGAGTCACCAACATCCAGAAATCATGGATCTACCGATGAACCAACAAAAAACGGCAACCACACGGACCTGGATCAGAAATGAAAACCTTGGCTTGGCGAGATTCCGAATGCAAACCAGTTGAAAGCCAGTAGAATGAAGCCTCAAACAAGCCATCACTTCCAGTATCTGATTCTTGCTAGGTTTACCCGAGTTTACCGTCCATGTGTTGTGAAAGTCTAGCAGCACGACAGTTTGAATGCCCATGTCGAAGGACCTACTTTGAAGCCACTCCACGAAGCAACTTTACACAGCTCAAACGGGTCAGGCGCAACAGGTTCAAAGCAATCAAAAGCTAGAACTGGCCGAGGGGAGACATGGCCCAAAAGGCAAGGGCACCAGAAAGGCAGTTCCACAAAACCAACCAAATGGACACACATAAAATTTACCACGGCTTAGGAGGCTTCTACAGACTACAATAGGCCAAAATGCTTGGATTCCCTACCAGCTAGGAAAAGACCCACGAAACGCTCATTCCGGTGGCAAAACACCTGCACAAAAAAACACTTTGCAATAGAATATAAACACTTCGTCTTCTAAATCCAGTGCATGCATATCATGCATTGCATGTCTTTCCTGCACAACACTCGAAAATCACTATGTGCCAGATCAATGTGCATATATAATCATATATGATTACTGTGTATATAAATCATATGATTTATACTATTGCATATTATATTATATGTTCGTACATTATATTATAGTATAGTATATAGTACATCATATTGTATTATATTAGTTATAGTATAGTATATTATATTGTAATATGTTATATATATATATGTGCCCACACTCGATTCTCACGGGAAATGCAACTTCGTCTGCGAAGGCCCACACCAATGACACCTTCTCGCTGACCTGTATAGATCCGATTCCTCTATCTGTGGCCTGTCTTCCCTGCGATTGGTCTATGCATCTTGAATTCTTGCAGCTGATTCAGCGGATGAGGTGCGCGAGAGCCTGTACGTCTGCATCACCCACCTGAACAAACAATGGATCAATGTGGATCAAAGCTTAGCCGGTTGGCCTCCTCAACGAGGAGTACATATAAAGACTCCTGGTCAATGGAGTATCAGGCTGCATGCACACTTGCAGCCTGTGGGGTCACCTTAAGGTCCAATCTCCCCAAAGCGAAGATTGGGGAAATGTTGGACACCGACCTGCAGCATCGGACAAATCCTGAAAAACCTCAGGTCTCAAGGACTTGGCTCATGGCTTTCGGCCCCTCTCGCTGCACAGCGTTCAAGCTACCAGTCAAAGCCTGTGCGATTTGGGCGGCCACCCTGCAGTTTCACGTCTGGCATCATTCAAATTCGGAGCAGCAACTTGACGATTGCGGCTCTTGGACTCCTCCGCAAGTGCTTGGTTTGCAAGTAAAAAGACCCAGCAGTGCTGTTGGGTTTTGCTAGGAAAAGTAGCCCTCCTAGAAGTGCATTATGTGCATTCCATTTGCATGTGCACGGCTGTCCCTGGCACAGCGTGTCTCACAGTCTGCCAGCCTCCACATGACTTCCCACTTCCGAAAGCGTCGAGGGTCCCCCGCATCTCTTGAGCACAACAACTAACCGAAGATCCTTGGAAGGCGTCCCTGGATGCCAACGCAGACGCAGCACAGCTCCGTTTGGAGTGAGCACGGCGCCCGGGAAAAGCCGGTTGGGGGCCGCAGGCGCGACGCGCCCCGTGGGTTCAAAAGAGAAGACGTTGTGGAATAATACATGGGCATAGGCGGCTTACGGGCACCACGCCAAACCAGGAAATAGAAGCAATCCAAACAAACGCTGGACTTTGTAACACTTTCAGACACAAGGTTTGGTTTGGGGTTTGGCAAGGAATTGTGAAAAGGATCCAGCACTTCCAGCGACTAATGCAGGGGTTAAGTAGGCAAGACTGCATCGACTAATGTGATGAATGCTTCGCTGCCTTGGTGGAACTAAGTGGCCACGGGGCCGATGGGGGCGCGGCACGGTCTTGGTATTGTGGCACTAGTCTCTAGTGGCCAGAGGCCAAAGAGAAAACGGGTCGCCTCTCTTCAGCACCTAGAATCTGTACAGGTCTTTCTTTGCTCTCTCCTGGCGGGGCGCAGGCGGGTGCAGGGTCATAGGTACAAAAGGGGTACAGAAGGGAATCTGCATAAGTGTAGCCGTCTGTTTACCGATGTATATAGTGTAGTGCAATTGATCACCTTCATCGAATCGACCTTCCCTCCACACACACACACACACACACACGTTTTGAGAGCATAACATGTGATCCATCCACGAGAGACCAATCTTGGAATCTGAGGGCTCGAATTAGAGAGCTCATTCCATCCCATATCCATATCTACCAGCATTAAATCCATGCAATCCACCTATACCAACGCCATGCAGAACCTTGGAGAACCTTTAAGAACCACCTAACACCAAAGACGGCAAACGCAATTCTGTTGCAGCCGCCTTTGTGCAGCATTCAACCCAAAACGACAACACAAAACAAAGCGTTTCATCAAGTCCTCCATCCTATGGTACATGGATGTGCCACCTGCTCGAGTCACTGCTAGCAGACCTCTGTGCATATTGCGATCTTTCCAAACCCCCGACCTGTGCACACCACAAACTGCGTCTGTGGCAGAATCCACTGGGGAACTCTCCTGCAGGCTCTGCGTTTTGGAAACTATCCCCACCACATGAAACGTGGACATGTGGATCTTTGCGGCTGCTTTTGCAGAGTGGCAAAGCTACATGGGAAGCTGCACAGATAGTAGTTCCTTATTGATTTAACGGACATGGCACGACACGAAGGCTCTCATGTCAAGAATCTCTATATCTTGCAGGCAATTCTATCACCTTTTCACGTGCCAACTGTTGACCAACCACCACAGTTCTACTTAGCCATTCTATGAAGATGAGCAAGCCTATAGCAGCAGTAATTACCACCTTTCCTCCTATCCCAAAGACACCATTCCACGGGTCGGCGGCTTTCTGCCACACTTGGAAAGGAGTAAGCTTCGAGGCATACCTGGAGATACTCCACAGCTCACAGACCTCAAATAGCAAAGCAAGTCATCAGTACGCGTTGCGGGTGTTGGTTTCTCAATAGCCTCCCACACAAAGACCATCAAAGACCTCTATGGTAGCTCAAGATAGCTCAAGATGCGTCATTGGTTCCATGAATGTCTCCCCTTCCCCCCCATGACGCACCCACTCCCGGAAAATGAAGTGTGTCAGTGTGCCGACTCAACGTGAAACCAAGGTTGATGAACGCACCTGACTATTGACTATTTGAATAAGGCGATCCATTTAGTGTACTACTTGGCACCAGTGCTAGTCTGTACTGCTGGACTGTACTACACCACAAATGACAAAGCCAGGGTGGTTTGCTCCCGACTTTCTCATCCGGCTACTTCCTTGCCTTCAAGCTCCCTCGAGCATCTCCAGCCTGGGAAGGTTGCATTCCACGTGTCGTTGGTTTGTTCATGGGGACACCCTCCTCAAGAATTGTCCAATTCTAACCAAATAGTCCTCCTTTTGCTCTTTTCAAGACATTGAGTGAGAAGAAGAGAATCGGGTCTTGCAGCACTATTGAAGCACTGTCCTCACGTTGTGGGCTACAGTATGTTGCATGACAGGTGCAGAGCGCACGACTTCTTGGCAGCTTACACAGTTTCGGATATGTTGCCTGGAAATCTTCCCACAAGAATGTCTCTTGCTCAACTGCCACGTGGGCAGGTAGGCTTCTGCTCTCCATTGTTAAACGTTGATTGCTGAGTCTATCACTGTGGGGGTGGGGGACAAAAAATCGTGCCTTTTCACTGCCTGGGTCGCCTTCCCTTTCCACGATCGACTAAATGTCTACCCCAAGCTAAATACAAAGTGGAAATGCATTCAGTGATCCGGTGCTTGTACGCTGAAGGTGGTGTGCCTTCACCAAAAATATAGACTCTCATATCTTTCAGTGGATTCCCACCTCCATCGAAGACCCTGAGCCTCTGAGCTCCCGACGAAACGGCATCTAGCATGGCTTCCTCGGCGGACCTCGATGAGTTGGAGTGGTGAATGATGTCGAATGGTTGCTGTTCTTCGGCACATGCAATTTCAAACGGAGGTTACTTTTCTGGCGTCTGTCATCCATTACATTAACAGAAACGATATTTCATACGTATTCAAGGGAAGCACCTTCAACCTATTTTGGGGGCGCCATGAGGTGAGGATGGACCCGGCAGCTTACCGTTTGCCTGTACCATTGCTGAGCTCGCCCTTGGCTTTCTTTTGCTATTGTATGAACGGATCTCGTTTGGGAGGACTCGCTACGTCATTGCACTGTAGAAAGAGATGTCATCATCATGGAAAAGAATAGGGATGTGAGAAGGGAATAAATACAGGGCTCCTACTGCAATGGTAATGAAGGCTGTTGGACTGGAATCCTGGGGGCAAACTCAAGGAATCAGCTTCTGACTAACTGCAAATGACCTCCCCAGACCAGGCCACGATATCCGCACAGAACGCTCGGTATTTTGTCTCACAGCCAACGTGCGCAAAGAAAGCTGAAGGACCACAGCACTGCCAGGTAGACCAGAAAGCTGGTCTTGGTCATCCCTCAAAGCCAGAGGGTTTCCGCGAAAAACAAATTCCAAGAAGAAAAGGCTTTTGTCCCCAGCTCCTGATTCATCCCATCATGGAAGTTCGAGAATATAAAACAATGGTGCAAAACAAATATAAAAACAGGATTTCATCAGAACCCCTTGCAGCCCGAGCTCCAAGTTCATCTGAGGAAACACTCCGAAGGAGCCCGGCGCCTCTAAATGATCCGTTGGAAACAGTCAAAGAGTTACACAAATGATCTTGTGTGATCCGTTGGAAACAGTCAAAGAGTTACACAGATGATCTGATTTTTTGGGGGGTAGGCCGGTAAAGATAGTAGCTAGAGGTAGGTAGCTAGTAGTAGCTAGGTAGCTACTAGCATGGACGCAGGATAGCTCACACTATTCATTTGGTTCCTAGATGTTTAGGAAAACTTAACTCTGGTTTTCATTAATGTTCAATCTGCTGTCCAGAACGAAATGCCTGATTCTAGGCTGACAAATTTCCAGACGCTGATGGGTTCGTCGAGCAGCATAATACAAAAACCACTACGTTCTTCTCTGGTTCCTTCCTACTATCTGTCTGTATATATAGGAGTCTGTGAGAGGCCTTGCCCGCGTCTGAAAAACGGTATATAACATGCAGGAGATTTTGCAACGGTGTTCCTTCTGTCAGGGAGTCGTTTGGCACCTCGGAACTTTGAGAAGGCCCACATCCTAAAACTCCAGAACATCTCCGCCTTCGCTGCTGGATCCATGATGCCAAGCCAGTCCAAGTATTGCCAGGCAAACAACCTGAAGTGGAATCACTCCAGCGTTTAGTGTTGTCATATCGTGTTAAGTCAACCTTGATGAAGACCCTGATGGCCCTTTCCTTCATCTACCTACTGTCTAAGACGAAGTAAGGTTTTTGGCATTTGGCTTCTGTATGGTGATCCCTGTTCCCGCCACAAGCTAGATCATAGGTTTTTGACCAACACCCAAATGTCTCACTTGCAAATGTTCCTCAGTTGCAGTTCATCAGAATGCGAGAAGGGAGATGATGGCTTGATGTGAGGGGATGTCGATCAAGGGATCAGCTGCTCCGCATTGATGGGTTTTAAAGTATCCATGAATTGAAGAGAAAACATGTGTTTGAAAAGTATCATCATAGATTGCACCTCTGTGTCTATCACTTGGTGGCCTACTTTGCACACAGGACCCCTGACTGGGGGCATCGACTAATTGAACATGCTGGCTTGCCAACCAACCACCTACCAACCGCGTGAACCTCCAAGTAAATAGCTATTGTTGAAATCCTGAACCATCCAGAACTCCAACCATCGCAAATACCATCGTCCTGCCACCGTCCAGGCCCAGTTGCAAGAGTTGTGCCGCCGGTAGCTGGAGCCTTTGATCGATCAGCTTCAGAGCTCAAAGCTCGGCATCGATCGCCACTAGACGCTTTGCGCCATTAAACCCTCGATGTGCATCAACAGGTGTGTTCAGGAACTCCATAGAAACAAAGGCTTTGTGAATGCACCCGCGTTCATCAACAAAATAGTAGTTTGATGGTCACACATTGAATTGAATCACTGTGGCAAAAACATGGGATGAACCTGGTGAGTGGCCTACAGTAAGAGCTTTGATGAGTGCGGTGTGGTTGGGTCCGGGTCAAAATCCACACCTCAGCAGCCGATCGCGACCAGCCAGTGATGCTACTGTATCCCCTACAAGCGTCCGTCTTCTTGTTCTGAGATGCCCCGATGATCAGCTTCTCAAGGATCTCTTCAGTTTCGGCCAGTAGAAGGGGCGGTCTTCCCAAACCAAGTCTCCAAAATCTGAGACCGATACCAAAAGAATCCAAAAGGGCATAAGACGCAAGCTACAGCAACACATGGCTCTTTGGCACTCTTTTGGGGGTCCCCCAAAGCGACCATGCAAAGAAATCATCCGAGACACAGGTAGCAAGCCAGGCTCCCGCGACCGAAGCGCACCAGCCAGACCCTGAAGGGAATTCATGTTTGAGGCTTTATGCAAATGACTCCGGTGGCTCCAGAAGAGGGAATCTCCAAACTTTTCTCGAAAACAAATTGGCTTTGCATAGTGATAAAAACACACAAATGGAAACGGAAGCGCCTTTCTGACAAGGCCCCGAAGTTCGAGACCATCGGTTGTAGTTTCCCTCGAACGTGAATCAACTCCCAGTTTCGCACCTCATCGTGTCCTGGCAGCCTTTACCATGCATCTTCGGCTTTGCCATGGGAGCCACAAGCGGCAAGAGCAGCGGGAAGTTCCAAGCATCTGGGAGGCCTGGCAATGGCACCTAATGTGTGGCTAATGGCACCAAAAATCCTCCAAACCTGCAATCTCTATTAGCTCGCACCCATATTGTTCGTAAGGAATCAGGTCTGGCTGTGGAACCTGGACAAGCAGATCTTCGGTTCAGCCCACGGATGTCGCTGTCTTGAAGTAGGGTAGATTCCTCAAAACAGTGATGTGATCGCTACTGGTAGCAAGAAGCTACTAGTAGCTATTGCTACTAGTGACTAGTGGTAATGCATTTGTAACTAGTAGCGATGCACTTGTTACTACAGTATATAGTAGAAAGAAGCTATTCATCTGCCTGCCCCCCAACAAATCCTATATGCTGCGTGTTTGCCTTCGCTGTTAAGGCACATTAAGGCCCTCAAAGCATGATAGAGCGATATAGAGTGTATACCCGCCTTTATTCTTGCTGGATAACTGACTTGCCAAAAAACATGCTCATGAGACAGCTCAGCAAATTGAAAGTTTTTCAGTCCACACGTTGTCAGCGTGCACCACACCAGGAGCATAGGTGAGCAGCCCAGCCTGGGATCACCTGGTGCATCAACATTGAGACCGGCAAAGCGCACTGGGCCCAAGTCTGTGCCCGGTCACATCGGGCCACTATGCCAAGAGTGCTGAGCCACTCAGCCCCAAAAACGCCAAAGAGGAAGGGCGCCAGAAACATGGGCGGGAAGGCCGAAAAGGGCCTGAGAAATCATGCTAGTCAAGGTTGGCATGAGCTCTGGATTTGTGTTGGAGAGACGAGGCATACCCACCAATGGATTGAACGTCCCTAAAAAAAAACAAAGAATGTCCTGTCTCAAGCGCAAGAACTGCATCGATAGGGTCAGGGCTTCTGCTTGAGGGGTTCAGGACATGCTCACACCTTCCGCAAGTGCGGCCGACATCCAATGATGGGAAGTTGGATGGTCAATGTGAAAACCAAACAACTAGGGAAGAGTTTCCACAAACTACCATTGGAAAACCTCGAAGCTACCCCCACCAGGACCGTGTCCCCCAAGCTGGAATCTCACGAATTCTCTACTGGCGATAAATAGATTGTTTCTCAGTTTTTTGCACCGAAGTGTGGAAATTCCTCTGAATAGGACCAATGCGTGAAATCCAACAATTCATCCTGGACATTTGCCAAGAAAGCATGTATGACCCGTTTGGGTATCTACAGTCTCTTGCGACGCTTCGCATATGGTTTGCGCCTCAAAAGGTGTTCGACCCAGGAACGGCTGGTGTTGGTCCAATTATTCGGTTCTTTATTATATCCATCGCTGACGAAAATAATCGTTTCGACCTGTTTCGACCCTTCACCAGGAGGCAAGTCCAAAATGCTCATCGACAGCCAATAGAATCCAGCGCTACATCCGAGGAGAATGTTGGACATTGTGCATGGTGAGCTCCTTCGTGCTGCCAGCGCATGGAGGTGATCCAACAAGGCAGAGATGGCTGGATACCTCGGTGCTGTGACTCTTTGTTCCTAGTAGTAAGGCCAGGAGCCCCTAGTAGCGTCCATGTTCCTACTCAGAGAAGGCTCCTACAAGTTCGCCCGAGTCTAGTCTACTTGTCACCCAGTCGCAAAGCCCAGCAGAAGAAGAGCCCAGGCAACGGCCACAGTGGGGCGTTCATGCGATAGGCCACACAGTTCTCAAGGTCAAGAACTGGTTGTTGGCACTCTGCTTGCCAGGGTACCTGTTCTCGCTTGGGATGGACTCTGACCATCTCTGACCAACAGGTTGACTGGTATTTTCGAGGTGGACTGGAAGGATTGCACAAGTCAAAGCCAAGGCTTTGCCGGTAATCCAGCCTTTCTCAGTTTTACGAAACATGCTCAGCCTGACAGGAGTTATATAGGAACAAGATCTTCCATCACCTGGCCCAAATTGGTTTTCGGGAAATTCCGGTTACATCAATTGCCGCCATTCTCCGTTCGGGAAGGAGGCCAATGCGTTTTATGACTCCCTGCATGACATCCTGATTTGTAGAGTTCAAGACATGGCAAGTGTCCAACGTAGCTATTGGAGGACGATGGAAGATAGAGGTTTGGGGAGGAGAGGAGATGGAAGATGGAAGTTTTGAAGGCACTTCCACCTTCTGGCAGACCACCTTGGGTGTTTCTAGGAATCCACTTCTTGACAGGGTGTCTTGGGACATGCTCTTGAGAGCAAACAAGGGTAGGAATGGCCAAATGATATTCCCTGACAACCGCAGGTCAAGCGATCTTTAATACCAACAGCAGCAGTTGCTTCGCAACACATTCGCACTGGAACGTATACGCACGAAACACTGCCAATGTGACTTTGGTCTTTGTATATTCCTAAGCAAGCCAGAGCTTCTTCATCTGGCGAAGCCAAAACCTCTGCTGGTTGGTGAGCTGTCACGCAGCTACCTGTTGAGCCTGCAGAAAGTATGTGTCAGTTGACACCCAAATCTCGGACTAGTGCAGCGTAACATCAAATTCTTCCATATGCTTCCCTCATTGGCATGTCATGAAAGCCCTGCTAACCGCTTGGCCTTGATTTTCTCCTGCAGTTTATCAAGCATCAGCACCACCTCTTGCCAGCTTTGGCCCTGTTCCTCTGGTTTGCCATCCCGCTCCACCGACTCATCTTGGTAGGTCACCGTTCCTTGTGGGTCCACCTGCAGCTTTGGCACTCGCACCTTTTGTGTCGGTTCAGCCGTCGGTGGGGCTGTGGGGAAGGTCGAAGGTTTGGGTGCTGGTGCAGCTGGTGCAGCTGTTGCAGCTGGTGCAGCTGTTGCCCACGTAGGTGGGCTGAACTCCTTTGGTTGGGGTGTCACTCGGGGTGGAGGTGGCGCTGGAGCCAGCGGCGGCGGGTGCCGCACGAAGAAGGGCACGGTTGCTGAAGTTTCCACCTTGCCACCCTGTTCCTCCCCAAGGGCATCGCCGCCCTTCACGCCAATCAGCGCATAGCCTTCACGCTCCTTCCCACCGGGAATTGTGGCACCAGCACTCCAAAGTGCTGCAATGGCTTTGGCATCCAGGTTTTCCATGCCAGAGTCCCTACAGGCCACCAGCACGATGCGGCCATCTGGAAGGCTGCTGATATCTCCAGCTAGCCGTGTGTTCTCCGTCTGTGGGTCAGCCCACACATCGTAGGTTTTTCTTGATGCAACTTGCTGAGTCTCTGGATCAAGAACGACCATATTGATACCTCTTCTACCGGCCTCCCCTCTAATGTCAATCTTCTTGTCATTCAAGAAGAAGTCTGCAATGTTGCCATCCCCGTGGCCTGCACTGACAACCCTCACACTTGTGGAATCCGTTGGTGCAGTTTTTTGTGTTGGCTCTGGGTCTGGCGGTGATGGTGCCTTTGGTGAAGCAGCCACACTCTCCTTGGCCACAGTTGGTGCTGGGGAAGGGGTCACTGGTGCTACTGCTGGTTCCGGTGGTGCCTCAGGTGCAGGAGCTGCTGTCTGAGCTGCCACTGACGTTTTCTTGGCTGGTGCTGGCGATGGAGATGTGCCCTTGCGCTCGGCCAGGGACTCCCGAAGTAGACGAAGTTCCTTCACAAGTTCCTCAGTTTGCTTTCTGAGCAATCTTGTCTCGGCCGCTAAGGAGGAGGTCTCCTTGCTGGAGGCAGGCACTCGACCAAGAACCTCCTCCATGACCCGCTGCTCCTCTTCAGGTGTCCACTCCTCACCTGGACTGGCCGAGTATGTGGCTGACAAAGCTATTTCAGCACTCCGTCTACGGGACCTGGCCCCCAGCCTATGAGCGTTCAAGAAGCTCAGGCTAGAGGGTAGAGATGGTGACATAGCCACCACACTGACACAAAGAACCAAGGCTGCTCGTCCAGGTCTTCTCCATTTCTTCTCCGCCATCTCCATGAAACGCGGAAAGTGCAAAAATCTTAATCTCTAAGTTGTACCAACTTGCCTAACCTAGCATTTTCGTTCTCATGAGGATGCTTTGGGGATCATTCCAAAGTAATCTCATCAGTGTCGAGGACTTAATTTCCATGTCAGAAGCATGGTTTGAAGCCTGTCATGTCATCTTCCAGTGTTGCTTCTTGGACCACTGAAGCTGCGTTTGAAACAACAAGATGTATATATCTTCAACCCAGCAGAGTTGAAGTCTTGGAATCACAACACCCCGACGAAAGTGAGACAAATTTGAATATGTAATGTGACGAGTGTGCTTCGCCAGACACACCAAAAGCAAACTCACCCGTCAGGGGCGGGGCCTGCCAGGTCTGCAGACCCCAAAACGGGAGGATCTCCCACTTGCAAGAGATGAGGACGGACCCCACCAGCGACAGCTGGTAGAGAAGGAAGCACTGGGAGCCATTGGCAAAGTACCTGGGCGCAGCCGATCGCACTTCAGTTAGTTCACATGAGGGAGCGGCCCAATCTGAAGCCACTGGCCACTGAATTGCAGAGAAATGGGGGTTGAATGTGGTTGCTATATATATAATATTTATTTAACCACATTGGCCGAGATCAGTCTTGCCAGGGATTTGGGTGTGTCTCACAGAGGGAACCCCATCATACGACTCAGCACCGTGAAGTCTGCCAGAAAAGCTCAGACCTCTGTCCAACAAGCCGCCAACACACGCAAAATGCCCGCCTCTTGAGTGGCTGGACTGGCCAGCGCTGCATAAGGGCTCCACTGATGGCCCTGCGAATCAATCGATATCAATCGTTTGTGGGTCGTGAGACCTTTAGGACCAAAGCTTCTTCCAGGTCACATAGCCAGGTATGTAGACAAAAGCAGGTAAACTCATATAATGAACTGAACGATGAAGCTAGATCGAGAAAATGCGATAAACCTTCCCAATATAGGATGGACAAATTTGGTTGGTCTCTGTTGGTCTAAATATCTCACCTTTCTATCTCACCTTTCAGCTTTCGCAGCTTCTTCACGCTTTGCTCACCCACGGAGATTTTGTTTGAACTGGGAGCACCAAATTCCTGCTCCCTAACAATGGCCATCGTCCACCGTGGTCCCTATAAAAGTCTTCCCCCATGAGATCTAACCAATGATGTCAGGAAAATGGAATCGAAACTTCCGACACCTGTGGCGTTGCCTGGAGTCCTGAGATTACACTGTATGCTGCATGGAAAACAGGCGGTAACACGTGTGAGGGAGACTGCTCGAGAACATTGCCCTTCTTCACTACCTTCCAGGTAGCGCTCCAGTCCGCGACTCCGTCCTAAGCCAAGCAGCACGAGCTTCCAAATGGCACAGGAGGTGCGGTCCATGGATGGGCCGAGAAAGAAGTGGCTCACAATGGTGAAGCCCACGCACGCGAGCCTCACTCGGACACGACCCACTCAATTGAGCAGCCAAGGCATCGGCCATGCACACTCAAGTTGGTCAGGTGAAAGTCTGTCTGCAGACTTTCTAAGTCACACTTTGAGGATCAAACAATGTTCGCTACTAGGAACAAGTGCATCGCTTCTAGTAACAAGTGCCTTACTAGTAGTAACAAGAAGCTACTAGTTGGATCCTCTAATTAGAAGTCAGAGGATCATCGTCCTTCATGGGATCCTTGGAGCCCCTCATGCACAAACCCCCATCTTGCAGTGCTGGGAGCTTCAACCCCTCGACAGCCAAAGCGGGCTCTGACTGGTAGTGAGAGTCCTGTGGTGGAACCATGAGATGTGGTGGGGTCGAGCAGAACAGGACAGGATGGATAGACTGGATTTGATAGGACATAATGCAGTAGATTGGATCAACAAATTAGATAGACAGGACAGATTAGATAGATGAGACTAATGAAACCAGATTCCAGATAGATAAAACATGTGTATATATTTGTTTACTATCTACAGTTGTTTATAAATGATTAGATCGCTGGATCAAATGTCCGAGGGATCCGGGGACGGATGGATACAGTAGATTGAAGAATCGACGGACATTGAAAATAGATGCGGCCCTGTAAGTACGTCCACGACAATTCACGGTAGGTGACGTCTTCGAACCGATCGCATGTTGAGGGATACTGAGATTGGTACGACGCTCACCAGTGCACTCCAATAACCCTCTCGGATGAAAACTCTGTCTTTAAGGCATTTGCAAAACAGGAGACGTCCCACAATGCAGTTGCATGCTGGTCCTCTTTGAGTTTGCACCCACCAAAGCCGATGGCAGCCATGGCCAGCATGAGGTAGACAACCAAACCGCTGAAGAACGGATGCTTCGGGAGCGACCTCAGGTGATATGATGTTGATCTTTGCAGGCCTCTAATAGCTGACGAAACTGAACACTGTTTGTGGGAGGATCCCACCTTTAGACCCCTAGCTCATGCGACTCATGTTCAACGTGGCTAGGGGTGGGAGCCATCGAAGTACAGTACAGTACAAGTCAATATATTAATGTACATATGTATAATATATATATATACTTGAAGTGGCCATGACGTCTTGCCCCTGAAAACAATTTCAAGCAGTCTTTCAATGCGTTTACAAAGCCACAACAGTTACCCACAGCTTCTCTGCCACACCAAAACTCGATGTCCAAGTGACGGCCTCACAAGTCCAGGCCTGGCAGTCGAGCTGAGTCGAGTCCGGGTCGAGTCGGCACAGCAAGCCCACATGAAGCCAGAACTCAAAAAGTATTGGTCAATCAAGACGCGTTGGATGGACCATATTCAGTACGTAGTTGTACTCGACGTCTGCCAGCAAAAATGTGTTTATTCTACAATAGTATATTCAAAAAACAAAAAAACTATTTGGGGGGGTCACTACTAGTAACAGGGGCATCGCTACTAAGAACAAGGGCTTGGCAGTTTCTTGGCGGCATCCCGAAACCCGTTGGCGGATCCATCGCCTGGGCCGCAACACCTCTTGGAACTTCGCGCGGTACCGCTGCTTCGTTGCCATCCACCAGGCCTGTCAGCATAAAAGAAATTACACCACCGTAGACCCCAAACAGTTTGTGTTTTTCAAAATCGAAACTAGAGCTTGCGACGTCCAGAGCTGGGAGACAAAGGATTGCAAGGCAGGCGGCCACAGCAGCCCAGAGCTGGGAGACAAATGTAATGTAAAGGATTGCAAGGCAGAGACAGACACAGCAGTACAGAGCGGGCGGACACATCTTAAGAAAGAATTGAGAAGCCCTATCAGTAAACCTTTTGGGGAAATATTCTTCAAGTGCGAACATGATGCTGGTCATGCTGCTCAATCAGCGGGGAGCTGACCACGTGAGGACAAGAAATAGAAGCGTGAGGAGCGAAGGATGTGACATGAAATTGATTTTTGGTGCCTGACGTATGTCCTCCGTCCCAACTGAACAGAGAGATCGCTGCCACGCCGCCGAAATCCAATCTGGTCATTCATGCAACGCTTGCCCGAAAAGGAAAACAAAGCTGAGAGAGTTACACAGTGTGGCAGAAATGCAATCCCGGAGACAGTCACGCGCCCCTTTCAAAGGAGCAAGAACCTTTCACAGGTGAACCTGTTCCAGCGGACAGGGCAGAAAACAGCAGTGCAGGCACCAAACCTGAAAGACAAACATAAAGAAATCACATGGGAGACAAATGAATAGAAATGCTACATGGCCAGCGGAAAAGGGCGGCAGCACCAGTCACAGACCCCGGAAACAAATGAATAGAAACGCTGCGTGGCCAGCGGAAAAGGGCGGACACCAGCAGTGACAGACCTGGATTAAAGCATTGAGAACCCCTAACAGCAAACTGCTTGGGGAAAAATCATAAGAACCCATCCACCTTAATCCCCATCATCCACCTCCTTTTGCTCGGAATCCTGTCGGCATCCAACTCGCCTGGCATTGCGCTTGCACCGAGTCCAACTCCACATCCGAGAGTCGGAGGACCTGCAGAGCAACCAGCAGAGCCGACATCAAGGCACACTTTCAACTTTAAGAAGGAAATCTGCAGCTGTGAACGCAACGCTTTTTGTTGCTACAACATGTCTGTATTTCTTTGGAAGGGATCCGCAACCTCCACCACTGTCTTTACAGGGCAGTCTTGGAGTGGTAATATTGGAAGCAAACAAATCTTGGCTGGAAGACCTTACGAATGTGTGTATATATATATATATGGTTCCCGCACTTTGGAGCAAGGTCATACATACCCCGTATGTGAAACTACTGTTGCTCCTTTGACAAGATCCTTATAGAATGTTTGACGCCGGCGAAGGGGTTTGATGACTAGATGTTGTCGGTTCCATGTCAAGAATGTGCCAAGAATTGAGTCAGTTGAACAAGATTGAAAACAAGCAACTGCTTAGCGATACAGTAAGAAGCTCTCCTACATCTCTAACCTTACCCTTGCCCCTCAAGCCGAAGCTTCGAATTCAGGGGCCCCTCAAAGGGCCTGTGGCAGGTCACCAGGGGATTGTACGAAGAGGAAGGGCAAGGCTTCGCCATCCTGCCACGCGGAGACCGCCAGCTGCACAGGGGGAAAAAAATTACAGAAAAATCTTCTGGAGCATTGTGCATATCCCGGAGACGCCACAGCATTTACCTAAGAAGAGGCAAGCTTAGTGAAGAAAGCAATCAAGAGGGGCACCGAGCTTTCAGACACCAATAACAACACCAATACAGAAGAACAAGAAACAAGTAGAGGCCTCAGCTCAGAGGGGCTGTCACAAACCAGGCTTGGACCAATGTTCAATCTGGAAAGATTTGTTCACCGAGGCTTTCACACTTGAAACATTCAACCCAGAAACCCCAAGCTTCAAAGAGAAGTACAAATGAATTGCCATATCATCCCAACAAACCCCTGTCCTTTACACAATATCTACACTCCAATAGACTCCACATCCCACAGCCCGCCCCTCTTTTCCCACACCTGAAGCTGTTGAAATGGATCGCCAGCTTGACTCCAGGCAAGCACGAGCACTGGGATGCACCCTGCCTGGCGTGAAAAGCAGCTGCATGGGCCTGTTGCAAAAAGCCTGGGGCAAAGCCAGAAGGGTTTCAGGAAGACGCTAACTCCCACAAATAGTAGACTTTTGGGTATGACGGTATGACTCTAAAACTCTAAGGAATGCTCTGGGAAGCACAATTGTCCTTTTAGCTGGGCAGTTTCACCCAACTCATCCCAGCGATTTGCCATGACCGCTGTTCAAATGCAGGTTCCCAAGCAAGGGTCTTCCATGGTCTTCCAAAACCTGCTCAAAGGCCGCTGCAAAAGATTGAACTGACGGCAAGGTGGCAAGCGGCAGTCTCATGGTGGCATCTGGACTTGACAAAGCCTGCCAATTACAGAGGATTCACCAAGAACTGGTACTTTCATTGCGCATAGTGGGAGCTGGGTTGTAGTGCCCAGTGAAGAAAAGGAATGAAATGGCTGGATGAAGAACATCAAGGTGAACGGAGGGTTCAGTTTCCCTAAAAATCTAGGAGCCAAATGCTACAAGGAAGCCCCCCTGCCCTCCTGCGTCCATGTGTAGTAGCTTAAGTAGCTAGTCGCGAACTTATTTATCCCTTACTTACTTAAGTAGGCGCCTACTACTTGATTAAGCAGGAGCGGGCTTCAAAAAAAAATGCCTTTGGAAGAGTCTCCCATTTCCGTCTCACCAATCAGACGCGCAGGGCGATCCGTTCGATCGGGATTGGCCTCCAGCGATTCGTAGAGGTAGAGGCTCTCGACTGCATCTTCCGGGATCTGTAGGCACAAGGCGCTCCGGGCGAGGGAACCTCAGAGGCACAACCTCTTCAACACCACCAGTGAGAGCTCTAGCTGCTACTAGCTGTTTGTCTGGAGAATCAGGATCGCAAGTTTCTAGTGGTACACCTGGTAGTAAAGGTATTCTGTCTCTAACCTGATAGGGTTTTAAGATGACTTAAGATGATTTAAGGAAATCAATGGGAGAACATACAGCTATGATGATTGATTTTGACTGCTCAGTCGTCCAAGCAAAGGATAATCCAGCTTGGATTGAAAGTATGTGTGGGCGTCCACGATCTTGCATAAATGCCGTTTTTATTGCAAATGGCCAATGCCTTCATGGCACCTTTTTCTAGGTCACGGCCTCCAATTTCTGACCTGTCTTGTGGCCCAAGTGGGCCAATTGATCAGACACAAACACATAGACCTAATCTGTCATTGCCGCATCGTTCTCCTTGCTGGACCTTTGTCACGTGCAGCCTTGAGCAACAATGGCACAGCGGTCTCTCTGGCCGTAGCCATCTGTCATTGCTGCATCCTGTCATCTCCAGTTGCTACTAGGGGCTCCTGGCATCGCTACTAGGAGCAAGGACGCTAACCAACCAACTTCTAATGAAGTTGCACATCTGTCACTGCTGCATCTTTGGTAGCCTCAAGCAGCAACCGCACAACTTCCAAGAGGCCGTGCCCAGCTGCATCAGGGGGGGTAGCGCTGCGAGTGTCCCAACCTGTCGCGGGTTAAGGACACGCAAAGCCACTCGCTAGGCAGAGTCCTCAGGGAGAGTACAAGCTGCCTGCAGGGTTCTACGCCGTAACGTGTGCTCTTCGTGTCGGATGTTTCCCATTTGTTGAAGAAGGTCCAAACAAGAGTCGAGAGTCATCCCAGGGCCCCACCCTAAACGTGCAGCAAAGTCGGAAACCGGACGCGGTAGCACCCGCAGCGCAGCGAAAAGCCGGCAGACCCACAGCACATGATCGATGGAAGGGACCACGGGGCTCATGGCAATACGGACAATGCTGAGGACGGACAGCAGCATGGACAGTAGCAGGAGTGGACATGCCCCCCCACTAAAACGGCCGCCGCCTCCCTGGACACCCGTTTGACAAGCCACATCAAGTTCCGGCACTGAAAAACCATCACTTTGCAGGATGAAAGGATCATACAACCTACGATATTTGTCAACCGCCAAGGTCTCATCGGGGTCACCACAAAAAATCGGTTGCCAATCCTGAAAAAGAGCTTCAACGCCAGACTGCTTACCGAAAACTAAAGTGCCATCCGACTGCTGAAGCACAGGAGGTGGGGGCGAAGTCTTCTTAACCCAGGCACAGGCGCCAGCCAGCGAAGATACCTGCGCCTTCCAGCGGCGCGCCAGATCCTTCTGCTTGTCTTGGATCACCTGCGTGAGGTCCTTTTTTGCCAAAGATTCTAAGCCTGGCCAATCCTCTTGCTGAATAAGCTCCACACCAACAGGAAATGACCGGACCAGAGACTGCACGAGTCGCGGATTGACCTGCCCACGCGTCGCCTGAAAATGAGCTTCACAAGCTCGTCTATACACTCGCCGTGCCTGGCGTTCGCGAATTGACTGCCCAACGCCCTTAGAAGAACCACCCAGCCGAATTTGCGGAGAGCTGCCCAAACAAACTTCACCTTGGTGATCGGACAAAACCTGGTTCAAACCAAGCCCTTCGGTTCGGGTCTTGTGGTTCTTGAAGTAGTCCTTAAACATGACCTGCGATTCTCCCGGCAGAGCGCATGACTGCCAGATTAGTGGTGTGGTCCTGCAATTCGCCAATCTTGTCAGTGAAAGAACTCCTACGCGAACAGCTTTCCCACCACCCACCATACAACGCACCTCATCCTCATCAAGCTCGGCAATTCTGTTCACTGCCACAGCATGCATCATGAAGCTTCAGAAGCTCGATGTGAGCTTGAGCCAAGGTCAAAATCAAGGCTGCAGAAAAGGGAATCCAAATGGATGCAGCAAGACCAGTGAGCACACCCGTTGGATGGCCCTGGTAGTTTGAGAAGGATGGCAAATAATCTCCAGGAATGCCCAACCGGCTTGGCCTGGTGTCCATCTGTCCATAGCAGCGACCGCGCTAGAGGAATGGAGCAGTGGCCGTGCTGAAACTAATTATTTGCGGCGCATGAACTGCCATCATGACCGCGTATTTAAAGTAACCTCCGCGTTTGTCGAAAGTAACCTGCCCTTGAAACACCAAAAGCTGTGCTGTGCCGCGCCAGCATCGGCTCCGATGACTGAAGCATTGAACAGCGCTGCGATTTGTTCGAGTAATTAACGATGATAGGCTGCTTTCCACAAGGGGCTCCCTATTTCCTTGGTCAGTTTGTCTCACATCAGCCTGCAATGATGTCGCGCTTAGTGAGGCAAATGGACTTTTGAGGGTCTTCCCAATCTCTATTCTTGCTATGTTGCCAACCAAAATGCATGGAACAAAAATGCTTTCTGCTGTGGTTGTGGTTCTTCGCTCGACTTAGTGAGGCTTCCCGCTTTTTTGGGTTCCTCAGTACTCCTGAAGGAGTCTGCTTGTGAGAAGCCCCGAAAGACGCCAGCCGCATTTCCGCATGACTTTCTCTGACTCAGAGGGAATGGATTTAAAATGTCAAGCACTACATGGGCTTTTGGAGCTTGAGGATCTTCCAGTCACTTTTTGAAAGATTTTTTTTGCCCAGAGGGGTAGGCCGGTAGAGGTAGTAGCTAGAGGTAGCTAGTAGTAGCTAGGAAGCTAGTAGCTTAAGTAGCTACTACTTAGGACCCAGGATGGCTCATGCTTCTATTCATTTGGTTCTTAGAATGGGATTGCTTTCCACCATCGTTTTACGCCCTTTCGATGTCCCAACTGCCACCACGAGCCAAAGGACCGGAGGATTGAAGCTGCGAAGCGCCAACCACTAGGTCCTGAAGCAAGCCACCGGTGTCACACCCACCCGATGCTTAGAGGCTTCACCTGATCTCTTGAGAGCATCTCCAATGTGCAAAGCGTGGACTCGGGCGCCTTCTTTTTGGGCCTCCAACCGAATAGCAAACTATATTAGACCGTTCTTCCTTTCTTGTTTTGTTTCTATTAGCGATGGCCTCCAACCTAATCACTGCGATGGCCTCCAACCTACTTGCGATGGCCTCCAACCTAAGAGTGATGGCCTCCATCCTAAAGGGGCCAAGTCCACCTACTTTTGTACCCTTTCTTCCATGCTTCAAATATGGTCCGTCTTCCTTGTTGACGAAAGGTCCAATCATTCAATCTACACATCCAAGCGGGGACTGGATTACACAGATTCTTCCGTTGATTTCTTTGATGCTTAAAAAGCCTGCAAGTTGGAATCAACAGCTGGATCGAAGATGTTTGCTAGTCAAACAATGAAAGTCCTCAATTCGAGGTGGGTCACAGACTGGCGGAACCTTATATAAGCTGTTGACATGGTGAAGCTCTTGGGATACATGTCGGGGTTCCCTAATATGACTCATTCTCAAATCCAGAATGATTTTGGATACGTGGTACTGTTGAAGTCTCCAAACAGCCCTTTCCCCCGCTCCTTTTCCGCCGTTTTCCGCGGACCCAAATCCCCATCCTTGCCCAGAACCACTTGCGCTGCGTGCAACTCGCCACTACGGTTTCGAGTGCTTTGAGTGAAGATCTTCAGCGGCCTTACCGGAGGGCTTGGGAAATCTGGAGACCACAACAATAAAACCTGTTCTAAAAGAACACAAACATTTGTTGCTAACGTGGTCCCGACAGAATTGCACCATCTACCTTCAAAAAGCATTGAACTGGAGCTCTACCCAACTGCCACAGGTCCGATAGGTGAAAAACAAGCGCCGGCAGGCATACGAGCCATGGGGGTCATCTACCCCAAGAACAACCTGGAGGCCATGCTGGTGAAACGGACCAAGATCAGTCCCAAAGCAGTGATAGAGGGCCAAATTCCATTTGGGCATTGTAGTTATATAGTATTTGTATGTATTCGTCGTGGTTGTTAGAGTAGGAGTACAATCCCATCCTACACCCTTAAATTGTAATTCTTGCCTGTTCACCTCGTTTCCTCGGCTGGGGTCGCTATAGTTTGCGCAGTCAACATGGAACCTCCGAAGATGTTTTCCGGCCATGCATGGTTTCCCCGCGGTGATCCATCCCCGAAGGTTGCCTCTTCGACGCCGTTGCTGCCGCATCTTTGCCACCCACTGTGTTCGTCGGTGGTGCACCCAGCGGGAAGTAGGCGAGGCGTTCCTGCGGCAATGGACTGGCGGATGCTGCTGGGCAGTGCTTGAAACTCCCAACTGCTATCTTCATGGAACAAAAGCACGTGTCTTATCCAAAATCATGTCGCACCTTAACACAATTCACTTGGAGCATGTGCGATGCTGATCTACCTTTGAAAGAGAAGTTGCTTCACGAGTTCGTCTCGAAGTACGAGTGTTTTGCTAGGTTATAGGTGTTTGCCCAGCGGGAGAACTCACTTTTGGGCCGAGGGCATGTTCACCGTTGGACACCTCCAACAAAAAACAACTAACCAACCTTGAAATGAGAGCTTGAGCACATTGAGCCAATGCTTTCAATAGATGTTCTGTTTATCATGCTTACTGTTTACTACTTTTGGGCATTTCCCAGGGCTCGACTCGCAGGGTCTCACTGTTTCTCTCACTGTTTTGCAACATACCTTGAAGGGATCAAAACCTTATTTGTGTGCCATGCCACTCAACAGGTATCACCTCCAATATTGCAAAAATGTAACCCTCAAGATCCCTCAAGTAGTTAGACAAGGAGACTTGAGTCAACTATCCAATGTTCTTAATTGGGTGTGGGATTGGATGCTCTTCCTCAAAGGGTGTATCATACAGTCCACGGCCCCACAACAACGAAATGGCAATGGAACGGAACATTTTCGCTCTAACTCCCAACCGCACATCTGCTGGAGCACAGCTCCTCCCTAATCAGCTTCCCAAAGCTTTGATTCGCATCATCCATCCAATAATTGCGAAACACAAAACCTGAAGGCATTCGAGCAAATGTCACTGCCCAGACTATTGGGGGCAACTGTTCAACAAATGCTGAATGGATGACAATCGAGTACAATCGAGCGTCAGGCTGGGTACTGCAACAATGACACGAAGAATGGCTGAAAGTTCAGGACCTTTGATATCTTTTCAATCTCTCGGCATTCGATCAGCCACAACGAGTTCTTGCATCTGACCCAGCAAAAGAGTCCTTTGGTGACTCTTGCCATGTCAACCAATCAAGGCAAGGTACCCCAGCGATGATATTCTTGCGCCCACATCGGCTGTGGCGAGAGGTCACCAATGTGAATGAGGGTCAAGTTACTCAACCTGAGACACTCCATCCTGCACCACCTGGGAACATGACCTGCTGGCAAGACCTGCGGGTGTGAAGTTTGTGGAAAAGCATCTAGCGGTCAAAGCTTTCGGCCCGGAGTCCATTGTTACATAGAGGTTGGAAACCAAAGAGGGCAACAAGGCAAAATTCCGCAAGACTTGGACGGCAGAATCAATAAGGGAAAGTGGGTTGAAAAGTACTGGCTTTGCAACACTTGTTTATATAAATCACCCCTCAGATTTGCAGACCGCGCGTGAGCCATGAGGTCATGAATGGCGTGCTTGTTGGTCACACTGTCTCTCCACCTCTCACCTCACCTCACCTCCCCTCACCTCGCCTCGCCTCGCCTCCACCACTCCACCACTCCAATCCACCCACACACTTAGATGGTTGCTCGCAAAAGCTAGGATCAGAATGAAGTCCCCCTTGACTTGAAGAACGGAAAGAAACACAAACCGAAAGGTGATGGAGTCGGCGAAATTGTAGATGTTGAACAAGGTGGAAAAATGCATTAACCGTTTACTGCAGGAAACAACGCATTGGACAGCTTGTGAACAGTTTGGAAAAATGCAGGTACGTGAGTCGAGCGTCCTCGACTCATATCGCAGGAAACGTGCGTCTTCATTGGTCGCTGACTGCACGAATCCCCAGCGACCCCCTGCCTCTTTTTTGACTCGCGCTGTTTTAGTTTTAGTTTGGTTCCTAGTAGCAAGGCCAGAAGCTACTAGTAGCATCCAGCCTTCTAGTGGAATCTACGGCAGAGTTACCAGGCACAAACCTTGGAAACAGGTGTTAACACACACACACACTCTGACACTGGTTTTCAGTTAACGCAAGTCACGTTGGGAAG